CCAGAAAAACTTGGAGAGCCTTTCAGCTGAAAACCCAGCAAAGATCAGACCACCTTCACAGAGCCTCTGGGCACGGCCACAGGGCACATGTGAAATCTTGCCTGGAGTAATAGCCTGTTGTTCCCCGGGGCTCTGATAGCACAGTGGTTAAGAGCTTGGCTGCTAACCAAAAGGTCGGCGTTTCGAATCCACGAGCCGCTCCTTGGAAACCCTATGAGGGCAGTTCTACTCTGTCCTTTAGGGTCGCTATGAGTCTGAATCAACTTGATGGCAGTGGGTTTCGTTTGGTTTGTATGGGTTATTCCCTACTCCAGGGACTTCTGAGTAACAAGTACACAGGAGCTGTTCTTTGGAAAAGGAGAGAGTCTGAATCACAGACAGCCTGGATGACGGCAGGGTAAATTGATCAGGTAGAGCCACGTGCTGGATACTACAAGTCAGGCTTCTGTTTTTAAGTTCTCTGGAGCCCTGGTGGCACAGTAATTACGAGCTATGGCGTGCTACGGCTGCTAACCAGAAGGTCGGCAGTTCAAATCCACCACCTGCTCCTTGGAAACCCTGTGGAGCGGTTCTACTCTGTCCTGTAGGGTCGCTATGAATTAGAATCAACTCAATTTTTTTTTTGGTTTCTGGATAAGGTAAGGATACGGGATTTAGTCTTAGATGAGGGTGGCCAGTTAGAAGTGATGTTTAACTGTCACTGCCCAGCTGACAGAGTGGGCTGTGGCTCCAGGGGGCGCTGGACGCCCAGCTGACAGAGTGGGCTGCGGGTTCCAGGGGGTGCCTATGCCCAGCTGACAGAGTGGGCTGCGGGTCCGGGGGCGCCGAACACCCAGCTGACAGTGGCTCCAGGGGGCACTGGGCGGGAGCACAGCACTCCAGATGTTGATGGGAAGTGATCCAGTGTCTTGTTGTGGAGGCCCAGTGCCAAATTAACACAAGGTCCGGCACAGCAGTGCAACCCTGGTTAAAACCAGATCTGGTCAAGGCTGAGTCCTGCTTGCTGTCGGTGTGTTTCTGGGGTTGATGTGTGCGGGACTGTCCGCGGCTGTGGTACAGGGCAGTGCAGACTGGAGCTCCTTCACTCGCTCTGGTCTCTACAAACCCGAGCACGTGGGTTAAGCGGCACCCCGTCCCGCTCCCCCATCCTGCTCCCCACCCCACCAGTCTGGCAATATCCCACTGTGGTGTTGTCTTACCCGCCTTCCCTGCTGGAAATTCAGCTCAATGAGGACAAAGATCCTCTGTCTTTAAATCCTTTTTTTCCTTTTAAGTGTACATTCATGTTTTTTAGTATACTCACAAAGTTGTGCAACCTCGTTGTTGTTAGGTGCCGTCGAGTCGGTCCTGGCTCATAGCAACCCCACGTCCAACAGAAGGAAACCCTGCCTGGCCCTGCGCCACCCCGCAGTCGTCGTTATGTTTGAGCCCATTGTTGTAGTCAGTGTGTCGGTCCATCTCATCGAGGGTCTTCCTTTCTCTCGGTGACCGTCTACTTTACCAAGCACGATGCCCTTCTCCAAGGACTGATCCCTCCTGAGAACATGTCCAAAGCATGTGAGATGAAGTCTCGCCATCCTCGCTTCCAAGGAGCACTCTGGCCATACTGGATAGTAGTGGAACTTCGTGCAGCCTTATGACTAGTTCCAGAACGTTTTCCTCACCTGCAAAGGAAACCCCGTGCCTGTTAGCAGTCAGTCCCCATATTCCTCACCCCTCAGCCTCTGGTAACCACGAATCTACTCTGTCTCCATGGATCTGCCTCGTCCCGATACGTCATCTAGGTGGAACCACGCGGTATTTGTCCTTTTGCGTCTGGGCTGTTTCACTCAGCGTAATGTCTTCAGGGTTCATCCATTTGCAGCACATATTGGAACTTCACTCCTTTCATGGCCGGCCCGTATTCCATTGCACAGATAGACCACAGTTAGCCATTCATCCAGAGATGGACAGCTGGGTTGTTGCCAGGCTATCGTGAACAGTGCTGCTCTGAACATCTGTGTGCACGTTTTTGCGTGAACACCTGTTTTCCCTTCTGCTGGGTATACACTTGGGAGCGGAATTGCTGGGTCACGTGGTGATTCTCTGTTTCACTCTTTGAGGAAGGGCGGGATTCTTGTCTGTTGCGTTCCCTGCTCTCACTGGCGCCGGAAGGGCTGCTGGCCACAGAAGGTGCTCTGTAAGTGCGTGTTGCGTGAACTGGCTCGGTCACTCACCGGTGAGAGCCCCCACACCTGCGTGCGAGCCCTGTGCACTGAGGAGCGTGAACTTAACAAGTGCCCGCCCCTCTCCGAGG